CCTCTCCCCAAACTATAGCTTCAGGAGGCAAAAGCTAATCGAAAAGCCTGGGGCTGTCTGGTGTGGGGTTTTCTTTGTTGTTGTTCTTTTTTTTTTTTTCAGATCGGTGAATTGCTGCCTCCTGCATGTCCTGATAGAGTCCAAAGGTTGTGTCCCTCTGTGGATCAGCTCCCAGACATGTCCAAGCCACCACAGCCTGGGTGCTGCTGTTCACCCACACCATGAACTCCCCTGTGTAAGCTCTGGCAGCCGCTCAGCTAGGTCAATAAATATTTCCAGGTGCCCCACTCTAATTTTAGGAAGGTCAAGTTTGCAAAGGGGAAATAGCAAGCAGGACTTCTGTCAGTACTAATCAGCTAGGGAGAGCAAACTGTAAACACAGCGTTCTTGTGGAAAATACCAGGCAGCACTAAATTCTATTCCAGCCTTAGAATTTCATAACACAACTTAGCACCACAGTCCCGTGTCCTAAGATATACTGAGCTCCTCTTGAAAGATGGACTAGAATGATGGATGGAAGAAGAGCCACTCCATTAAAAATAAAAAGCCTGTCTCTCAAAGCCCATTTGTGATCACTTTAATGAAATGAGTGGAAAGCCAATAATGTCATTTTGACCAACTCTAACATCATTTAGCTATAAAATGAGAACAATTAAAATGGTGCTCCCTGTAGAGGAGAGTTCACCCAATAAGTTCCTTAACTTCCAAGGAGCTTTTGTTTTATTAGATGCTGTTAGCTTCATGTTAGTCACAGGAAAAAAAAAAAATGCCCACATACACACGCACGACTAAATGTAGTCAGTTTGCTCAGCTGCTGCTGACGTCACTACTGCCCACTAGGAGTGAGTTACTGTAACAACCCCCTTTTATTAATCATAGGCTGGAGGAAGCACAAAGTGGGTGACATCATTAGGCAAAGGACCGGCTAACTCATGCTCTGATTTACTCAGCTTTATAATAACATTTCTCAAGTGTCATATGAAAGTGATTACCATTTCACACTTTCCCCCTCTGAGCAGTCATCCCTAACCTTCAATTCAGACTCCCAGAGAAGAGTTAGTTTTTCAGATGGAGGCATGCCAGAGCCAAGTCTCACTAATAGGGTCCTTGTTCCAGGAAAGAATGTCCTCAGAACAACTCCTTCCTGGGTTGGAGATGGAGGCAGTTTTTGAAGCACTAGCATCCCAAATGACTTTTGGTTCACCGTGCCCCTGGTGGTGGCATCCAAGTGAAGAAGGAGACCATGGTGTAGCCCTTCCATCCCATGATGGGTTCAAATTGGTATAGCCAAGCATGTCTTCATGACTCAGCCAAGCATGTTTACATGGTGACCCAGGCCTTAGGCTCTGCCTACATGAGCTCCAAAATGTGACAATTTCACTAGGAGACCCTGACCAAAGGTTGCAAATTAATAGGATGGTTCTTATAGTTTATTACATTCAGACTTGAGATTCTGGGCAAATCACTTGTCATCAGCAGTACAGTTCCCCCTGATTAGTAAACGCTACTCTTAATGTACATCCCTCACAGATAATGATTGATAGAAGTGATGAGGACATCACTACCTGGCGGACACATAGAACGTGCCTGCTATGTAGGAAATGTAATCACTGGGAAAATATTTTTTTTTCCTTAAAAAGCTTTGCTGGCTGAAAGGAACCTTCTCTGCCTTTAATGAACATTGAAAAGACATACAAACCTTCTGCTGTCTGATATTAGAGTCTCAGGGTAGACTGATGCAAGGGAAGCCTAACTGCACCCTCAGCTTTGACACCAGCCTGAAAGTTCCCAGGCGGCCCACCTCTGTGGTCCAGTCCCCCATTTATCCAATGGAGAACTTTATGAGAACTAGAAGAGGCAGTTAATAAAAGCAAGAGAAGGCAACGCTGGCTGAAAGACTGCCAAGAGCCCCGCGTCATGCTGCTGTCACTGGGGTGGGGGGGTGGTTTGGTTTTTTTTTGTTTTACTTTGACTTTTTAAAGACAAGTTCTCATAGCCAGGCTGGGCTTGAACCTGCAATCCTCCTACCTCCACCTCTCAACTGCTGGGAACACCGGTGCGCACTGCCACTTAAAACCTCTTTTTTTTTTGAACACATAAAACGGTCTGGCTGTTCTATGGAGATGTATAGACACACACAGACACAGAGAGGAGAGAGAGAGACCACACTGCTGTATAAGTCAAGAAAAAAAATGTTTTAACATAGTCTCAGCTGCACTTCATCCTCATAAACAAGCATCTTGGGGCCTCCCAGGAGCTACTTTATAGACATCTTCACTCATCCCCTTGTTTGTAGCTCCAACCTGAGGGTTTTTAAGGAGTCAAAATAAAGCTTGCCTAGGCACACAGGAGAGACACACGGCAAAACTAAAGAGAGTGCTGGAATTCTGTCCAGATACTGATGAGACTGATGCAGCAATCTCACCCAGGACCACTCGGGTCCCTTCCAAGTCAATGTTGAATCATAAGCAGTCTAGTAGGTGATGGGTTTGGCTTCCAGAATGATCAGCTACTATAGGAAAAAGCTTCCAGGCCATGTTACATGGCAAACAAATTAATAATACATAGTAACTTTAAGAACTCCAGATTGGAAACTTCCTTAAACAGTGCATGTCACAGTATCTGCTGCCCGTACTGGGAAGACCAGTACGTGCTTCTGAAGAAGCTCAGGCAAGCACAGGCACAGCCAAGCAGTAGGTGACTGGGTCATACCCCTGAGAGTGTACCTGTGAAGGTAGAATCCGTGAACCTGTCTGCCTAAGTTCATCCATACTACCTCAGTTCCCTCCTCAGTCCTCTCCCACATCCTCTCCTGATGAAGGGTACCCCCCCCCAGTCCTTTGCTGAGTCCTCTGCTCAGCTCTCTCTTCAGGCTTCTCCTCAGTCCTCTGCTCAGTCCTCTGCTCATGAGGGGCACTTCTGAATTCCAGAGCTGCCCAGGTGGAACCAGGGCAATGAGCTCCCCAAACACAAATCATGGGTAGTTTATTAATAATGTTACTAAAAGAAGCTTCCATAGGGCCTCTCTAAGCTATATATACCTCTTATGAAAATTTCTGAGAGACCCAGAAAAGCCACATGACCACCAGAGATGGGAAATCCTAGGACTTGTGGGATGTTCCAGATTCACCAGGTACCTGAGCTATTTTCTTGGAAAGAGGCAGAGGCGCCCTCTTCTGGCTTATTAGCATAAAAGGAAATTTTATGAAGCCAGCTGATGCACCCAGTCCCAATCCCCAAATCATTGCTTTTCAAATGAAACACATCCTGAAAATAATATCTATTCTTTATACACAATGTGAAAATTCATGTAAGTGTAAAAATGTAAATCGCATGTGTTCACCCTTCCCAGAAATAATCATTACAATTTTGGTGTATGTGTAAAACAAAATTACAAATGAACTATAATTTGGTAAGTTCATATTTCAGCTATCATCCACTATATGTTGATTATTTTCAGTGGAGAAATGATTTCTTGAAAGCATTAATGCCTGAGGGATAATTAATCAAATAGATGTCTTTATTTTTAAACCAGTCTACTAATACTATATAACCAGTTCCAAAGGCATCTTTTAGGTTTTAAGTATATCTTATTGCTTCCTTATGATAAATTCCTAGAAGATGAGCTACTTGGACTAAGAATGTGGACAATTTTAATATTTTCATATCTATTGCCAAATTGCCCCCTTTAAAGTTCCTAGCTATTTCCATTCCAACCAATGGTGGAAGAGTGTGATTCCTTTCCCACATTTCAGTCCGGGATTATCAGAGTTCCATCCTCCTTTCAACACAAATTTTGTGTCTGTTTTGTTTAAATTTGGAATTTTAAATTATTAGTTAAGATTAAACATTTTGCTGTTCATTTACACAAGTTTCTTTTGAGTCTCTGACATGTCATAGACTTTCATATTTTAAGTAAGATTTCATTATATACAATTTTATGTAAGTACATTTTATTATTACTGAGGAATCCTTATATTACTGTGTCTCACTTTCTGTTGCCTGTTGTTGTGATTTCTCCCAAATTAGTTCTTTGCTATTTAATTTTGTTTACAGTATTTCAAAGAAAAGAGTGCTAATTTTATGCAGAGCATTCTAGGAATCATTGTGTGCACTGAGGTTTCTCCATCAAGAAATCAAATTATAGTCATCCATGTTTTCTTTTTCAATATTTTATTTTTATTTTATGTGTATGTGTGTATTGCCTGCAAGTATATAAGTGCACTTGTGTCATGCAATGTCTGTGGAGGACAGAAGAGGGTGTTGGATCCCCAGAAACTGTTAGCCACCATGTGGGTACTATGATTTGAACGTGGGTTTTCTGGAAGAACAGTCGGGGCTCTTAACTCCTGGGTCATCACTCCAGCCCTGTTCCATGTTTTCTTCTAAATTGTTTCACATTTTATTTTTTAAAACAAAATATCTGAACTGCATGTTGGTATATAGAGCAAGAATGTCACAGCAACTGCAGATAACTACACACTTTTATATCTGTCTTAAAGTCTGTTTTTAATGATGATAAACTATTAAATCATAATTATTTTTGTTAAAATAGCTTTTTCTGTTTTGGTGGTGCACACCTTTAATCCCAGCATTTGGGAGGCAGAGGTAAGGCAGATCTCTATGAGATCGAGGCCAACCCTATCTACACAGTGAATTTCAGGCCAGCTGGGGCTACAGGGAAACCAAAACAAACAAAACAACACCCCATAGATGTCCAGTTTTTAAATGTAAGCGCCATGGAACAAAAAGAAAGAGGGAAGGCTGGCCTTGAACTCACTCTGCAGTGCAGGCAAGCCTTGAATTTTCAATCCTCTTACCTCAGCCTCCTGAATAGCTGGGATCACAGGTTTACACCATCAGGCCCAGCTTCTTAACTGTTTCACTAGGATCCTAAGGTAGAGATTTGGTCTTGAATTTAAACACCATAGAGTAGACATTTCCATTTGCTATCGTTGCTGATTTTGAGACACCATCATTTTGGGATCTGTTTCTTATAGCAGTGAACACTTTCCCAGGAGAGAGCAGAGGCTGAGAGGAAGAAAATCTCAGAGTCCTGAGAGCCCCCATATTTAAGAGGTGAGTGGAGGAAGAACACCCTGTGTAGAATAGGAACAGTAGCCAGGGCTGGAGGAGAAAGCTACGGAGCATCCTCCAGGAAGCCAAGAAAAATGTTTGTAAGAAGCAGGTGACAGGACAACCAAGGAAGATGCAGAGTCTGGTAAATGTAACAATACGCAAAGTGCTGCCAGTTGAAGCCTAACCAGGTCTGCTTCCTCATTAGGAGCAGATTTCAGAGGAGAGAAAAGGAGCCGAAGGGACCAGATGTCTCACTGTCCTAAGTTGGGAAGACGTAGAAGAATGACTAGAGGTGGGATTGGGATCACCTTTGTTAATTTTAAGAAAGTTAAGCATGTTCTTCTGAGAGAAATTAGAAAATAAAAACATAGGTCTGAGAGATGACAGGAAAACACATTTACTTCAGTGATAAGAAATGGTGAACTGACTTTTAAAAGAATCAAGTTCGAACTACTTCCCACTTCCTCCATCACAGTCACCCCACCAACCCGCCATCCCAAATGACCTAAACTCCCCACCACGCGGAACTGCGGTAACGTCCCAGCAGAACCCTGGCTTCCCACTCCCATTCTTGCTTTATTGGCCATTCAGAACCAGTAGCCCTGGCAAAAATAGAAATCTGGAGCGAGATGTTCTCTGCTCATGCACTCTCATGGTTTCTCCACTCACACAAAGTCCTCTCTGTGGCAGAAATGGGGCTCGGGACCTGGCTATGTCCTAGACCAATCTCCTCCCATGCCCTCTTTGCCACCTCTGTCTTCCCATGGGGCTCCTTCACTATCCAGCTCCTTAAGGGCACACCGCCCCAGAGTCTTGGCGCTTGCCTCTCTCTCTGCCTTGAGTTGCGTCATTTTCCACCAGACAGCTCACTCTGTAACTTTCTTGTAGGTTGTCTCCAGATCATTAACTTTCTTCTGACTCCTCACCGATTTTAATTTTTTCCTACGCTTATCGCCGTCTGAGATTTGTTTACTATCTACAATACATGAACACAGCAGAACGAAGATAGAGACAATGTTTTGTTAACAGATAAAGCTCAGCACCTTAAATTGTGGTCAGAAAATGCTCAATAAATGTTTGCTGGTGTCGAAGGGTTACTCCCCAGCCCTATTTGGAGGGGGTATAACTTTTAGTATGTAGGGCCCAGGTCAGGAAGTCAGATCAGTGGGGTCTTGCCTTTGCAGAAGACATCAGAACCTCTTTCATTTCCTGGCTGCTGTGAGGTGGACGGCTTGTTCTGTCACATGTTCCTGCCATGGTTTTTATCCTCACCACAGGCCCCAAAAAAATGCAACCAAGAAACTATGAAATGAACTCTCTGAAATATGAGTCAAAATTACCTTCCCTCCTTAAAAGTTTATTCTATTAGGCATTTTGTTACAGTAATAGAAACCTGACTAATACTGAGTTAACTAATAAAGCTGACTAATACAGACAGAATAGCTCCAGTTCCATAAAAGCCTGTTGATATCGAATGCAGCTGAAGTTTCCAGTGGCATCAAACCACTTACTTGTTTTGTGTCTCCAGACTATGTTCTTTATCTCAAGGTGTGGAAGAAAGAAGCTAATTGTTTCGGTAAAGCATTGCTGTCCAGAAGACTTTTCTACCTTCCTAAAATGTCCCATAATCTGAACTGTGCACTAGACTAGCAAGTGGGTATGTGCATCTTAAACTTTCAAAATGTTGTCATTGTGATTGCTTCACAGTGGACTGTGCATGTGGAATCACCCAGAGAAAGATTCTGACAGAGCAGACACCATCAAAGGACAAAGGGGAATGGGAATAAAAGCCTGGCATGGTGGCTCATGCTTGTAACTAGGACTCTGGAGTCTGGGGGAGGAAAACTGAGGATTTACAGCCAGGCTGGGCTACATAGCAAACCAACCCTTATCTCAAAAAGGGGGGGGGGGAGATGTCAATAAAAAACTGATAAGTATACCGAGGAATTTGAGTGAAGGAAGAAAGAAAAGTCAGAAAGCGACCAATAGTTTGAAAATATCCTTGCCCAGGAATAGAAGATACAAGCAGAGATGGTGTGAAGTTTGAGGGGAGAGAGAGAAAGCTAGCAAGCACATGGTTTCCAAAGAGCCTACCGTATAGCAAGACACCCACCAAGGAGAAGCAGTGGTGAAGAGGTGGGGAGTGAACCCATGCAACGTGTGGTCAGGGGATGGATTTCTTCTTCAGAGAAAGTTCTTGGTATTAAGTAATTCAAAGATCTGTAAGGGAAAATGGAATGAATCAAACTTCTGGAGTGGTGAGAGGCACCTAAGATACACAATAAGATGCTCAAGGCCCAAGCAGAAACACAGTAACAATGTTGCTGTTATTGGTTACCAGTGATCCAGTACTCATCTTTCATAGCCATGGTGTGAACTGTTTGATGTCTGCACAATCCCTTTTACTCCACCAAACAACGCTTATTATTGCCATTTATACATAAAGCTACTTAGGCTTAAGAAAGACCAAATAACTTGTCCCAAGGATGCACACTGAAGGTGTGATAGAGCTAAGACTTCAATCCAGGAAGCCTAATGTGCTCATGAGGTATAACTCTGAGCCTTTTCATATGTGGTAGTAGCAAAAACCCTTAGACTCTATTCATTCTAATCCCATGTGTCCCAGATCTGGAAACATGCTAGATCTGGGAAATATTATTCATTGAGGATTCAATATCAGGAAAGACCAAATGGTGAACCAAGCATTTAGGGTAAAAGCTGAGTATGAGTGTCAGCTTACTGATGCTGGAACAGGTGGGAGTTTAGGAATGGTGCGGGGGACGAGGAGAGATGGAGGCCTGGACCTATTAGAAGAAATTCCTGGAAAAATCAATTCTCAGAAGGCCTTAAATGGGACTGTTCCAAAGGCCGACAAGCAAACATTATTTGGCCTTACATTTTCATGCTGAAAAATAAATAAATATATATAGCACGTTCTTCGTTCACTTTCTCATGACATGAGAAATTTTCAAGTGCAAAGTCGGCATATTTTAATCAATATTAGAAGAACAGTAAAGAAAATATGAAATTTAGAATGGATTGGTTAGTATGACATCCTTCATCTGGTTTACACCACCTTTTCTCATGATAACATGTTCAAGAAGCACTGAAATAAGAGCAGGGATAGATTTCAGTATACTTCCCAGGAGATCAGGATTGGTAATTACTTTATTGCTCTGCAATTGCATTAAATGTCTATCATGAGACTTCAATTTCCCATATCCCAGTACATGAACTTCAGCCTGTTTAAAACCTCCCAATTTCCCCTCCACCTCAATTCTGGGATAGGAGGAAGTAGTGGTGGAGTTTGTCAAAGAATTTCTTCACAGTCTGGATGAGCTAGAGAGCCTAAGAGTAGATGATCATCTTTTACCCATATCTTCCAAGATGATTTTCCTACTTTGTCTATACCCATCATAGCTAGATTGTTCCTCACTTGTAACTGTGAAATATTTTATTTTCAAGTTCTGATCATTATATAGGTAAAGAAATAAAAATAATGATCAAAATTGAGCAACATAAAGAAAAATTATAAGGGCTTTTTTTTTTTTTTTGGCAGATGGTGTGAATGTACCATCCTTCAAAATCTGAACTCATAGGCAAGACACTGTATTTTAGTCCTCAAACTAATACAAGTAAGGAGAAATCAAATTTCTGGTATGTTTTTGCCTTTCTATCAGTCCAGAGCATTCTGAGTATTGGCTAAAGGAAAGCCATTCTATTCAAGGTCCTTGACTGTCCTACTGGCCGGTGCTGAGACTCCAGGGTCCTGATGGCACAGACCCACTGCACTGAGGCCCGGCTGCTTTCTCTGGGTACCACACAGCCTGTCACTGGTCTCTTCCAGTAGGTGAGTAGCAGCCTCTCACCCTTCCTTGCTCCTGTCTTGTTTCTGTCCAATTTGTTGTGCCCCCTCCTTTCCAAATGCCCATCAATCCTTTTTCAGGTTTAGGAAGAATTTGCCCTAAAGAGACACCTGAGCCAGTAAAGAGAAGGGTAGGGAAATGACACAAGCTAGTATTAAGACAAATTATATTCTTCCTTTGTCAAGCCAAGCAAACCCTAATGATAACGATTTTCAGACTAATGTGCCATGTAATAGAACACAAACATTTAATAATTAATTCTTCAAAATATAAAGAAATTAATATGTAATTCTTAGAAATTATTTTGGAAGTTAGATGCCTCACTGCTCCCTGTTTTACTGAGGAAAGAAAAGACACATGAATTGACTAGGACACATTTGCATAACTAAACAGTAGCAGAGCTAGCCTACAAATAACTCTACCCAGACCTCAGAATCCAAGCATTCAGTCTTTTAATCCTACACCAATCATTTTATGTAGATGTCACTAATCCATTTTACACAGGAGACAGATGAAAAACTTGATTTAATTCCTGATTGAATTTTCAACTGCAATGCCTAGTCCCCAGAAAGCTATTAAAACTGTTCTGACAAATAGTACCAAGAATTTGCTACACAAAAAATTTTACGGAGTCTGTCCCCTCCTTGCTTCCTCCTAAAATTTCTCTTATACCCTGGTTTTCATGGCACTCAGGCCCCTGGGTCTCTACACACTGAGGGTTCCCTTTCCATTTTTCTGTTCCTCTCAGTCCAGATCAGACTCCTTTTGAGTGACTGTCTCCATGCTCTGGTTTCAGCAGATAATGATGTTAATTTAAAATTTATTTACTTATTTTTATGTGTATGAGTGTTTTGTCTTCACGTAGGTAGGTGCACCATGTGCATGCAATGCCCCGGGAGGCCAGAAGAGGGTGTCAGCTACCCTGGAACTGGAATTACTGAGAGTTGTGAGTTGCCATGCATGTGTTGGGAACTGAACCTGGGTCTTCTACAAGAGCGGCTAATGCTTTTAATCGCTGAGCCATCTCTCTAGCCCCATGAAGATGCTTTTAAATCTTCCTGTGGCCCCACATGTTCCCTGAGCTTTAGACTCATTAAAACTGTTTCATAACTAGTCATTGCTTACCTTAAAGGTGACTGCAACTTAGCACATCAACTTCTTCAGCTCCTGCTTTTGAGCTTCAGTCTCAGTCACTGGCATTCAATTCATCAACAGTTATATTACAACTATTTTCTCTTCCCCACTACGAAGTACAGTCAAGAACCATGTTGTGCGTATTTACTTTTTGGTTATTTCTCTGAGACAGGCTCTGAGTTCCACTGAAAAGTAGTACATTAATAGACCACCACCTCGTGTCTCAAACTTTTGCCCATGTTCTGTCAGAATGAAAGCCTCAGGTTATTTTAGCTATTAATTTTATGAATATATATAAGAAACAATAACCATTATCTTAATGGAGATGCACTGTGCTACCACAGACCATAACTGCTAATTAATGAGGTATTGGATCTTGGGATTAATGCTCCTACTATTTTTTTTTCTTTCTTTCATGTTTTCCTTATCTTTGCTTTATGTTCTGAACTTCTTCATATCTGTCTTTCATCTCTTTTACTGTTGCTTTGACTTATATTTTCAATTGTAAGAATATTTGTATTATTCTCTATTTCCCTTCTGGTTTTGGATTTAATTTGTACTAAAACATTTCTGAGGGCATTTTTCCAAAAAACTTTCTGTTCTTTACCTTGATAAATTTCTTTTTGTTTTCCACACCATCAAACTTCCTGTTTCTTCATCTATAAAATCTCTGGTTTTCCTGATGCCTGGTGCTGTTACATACCATAGCTGGCATGTCAGTTAAGAGCGGACTGGGTGCCTTTTGTTTGAGGCCTAGTCTCCTCTAACTCTGGATAGTAGGAAATATGCCATTTGGTTTGGTTTAGTTCTCTGAATTTTAATCCTCATGCCAAGAAGATTTCCTAGTGTATCATAAGAACCCTAAAATACCAGAATCCATTGTTTTTGAAGGTCTTTCTCTATTATGGTCTATGAGATTCTTAGAAGAATCTGAAGAAACCTTTAATGAGACATGGGCACTAACCCAGTCTTGAGGAATGAAGAGGAATTTATCTCAAACAGAGTCCACTCTTTAAGCCTGTTTTCTTTTCCTTCTGTTTTTATCATAGAAACTTCCAAACACTGCATCAAAATAGAAATAAGCAATGCCAATCTGAATACTGTGGCCTCCTGCACCAGGAATTAGGAGCTACAGATCCTGTCCCACGCACATTGTGGAGATCCTGAGACATATCACTCACCTCATTAGTCCCTAGTTTTTCTAAATGTAGAGGTCATAAATCTCACCAACTGAGTGTTTATCAGAGTATTATGGGAATTTAAGTAATAGCGTATGTTTCAGTCTCCTTAGAAATGTATTACAAGTACCTATCGCCAGCCTTCATAATGTACATGTAAATGTATACACATAACACAATGTATGATTTCACACATTCTGCTAACTTTCATATATCAGAGAACATGTTTCCAAGCTGACAAACATAAAGAAGAAATTGGTTGATCAGACCCTCATCAGAGATGGTTTCCTCTTGACTCTGTGGTGTTCTCTCTGTGTGTCTATTTGCTTCCAGAAATGCCCAAAATCAGCTTGACTTCTTTGGCTCTCAAATTTAACGTGTTACTAGCTTTTTAATGTTCTCATTGGTGCTTATAAGTTCTGTTTCGTTTTGTTTTTATCTTCATAATCTATAGTCTCATGATGGTCTGATTGTTGATACTTTTTATCAACAATTACTGAAACCTGTTTAGCCTCTTCGACCTGTTCACTCTGCTATTTCTTCTAGCTTAAGGACGTTTTCTTCTAAATTGGTCTGGCTTCCTCTCCAATTTCCAGCCTGACTTTCTACTTTTTGAGTCCTGAAAAATGCCAAACTCTTTTTCTTCATCTTTTGTACTTTTCCCTTCTCCCAATGCTCATCTCTTGGTGGATATCCACAGAAGTCTGGCACTTTTCCCAGCGCTCTGCTTTATCCCACGTCCATCTCATCCTTCATAACCTCTCACACAGATCTTAGTTTTTCAATTGTAATTTTAGCTTCTGTGTGATCTTTTTCTCCTCTTAGCACTTCTTCATCCTTTTAAAATTATTCTATTGTTTTTAATCACACTGCCGTGTCTTTTCAGGTACTTTGTTTTTACACGGCTTCAGGATACTAAATTTCTAAAATACTCTTCTGCCCATAAATATTTGTAGAAGAGTGATTTTTTTCCATTAAATGTTAAACACCACAGTTGCTTCTCTTTTCCAGGTCCACAGTACTTCCATTAGTCTTTTCTTTCTAAAGAGGTCTGTTTATACTAGGGGGTAACAATGACAGAGGATGCTGATTCTTGGGTTCTGGGCTCTGACTTCCATAACAGGCAAAATAACCTGGAAGGAGGCAGTTATTAAGTCTGAGAATCTAGCCAGCATTCTTAAGGTCACTGATCCTTCTGTTCTGCACCAATGGCATGTAGGCAACCCTACAAGTTAGAGGCACTTCTACCTCCAGCCCTGCATGGGAACTTTACCAACTGATCATATTGAGAATCCTCAATGAGTCTATACCTGTATCTATTTTTCTGAAAGTTACTGTCTCAAGATTGATGCTGATAAACTGTTTTCTTCTGTCTGATGAAAGGTATGATTTTATTCCATGGGTCAATCAAAAGTCTGAGCACCAGAGCTAATGAAAATATCCATCAAAAGTTTAGCTTAGTTGTCTGTTGGTTTGGAAAAAACAAAAACAAAACAACTCAACAACTCTGCCTTAAGAAAAAGAAAATACTCCATTCTGAGCTAAATTTGAGTGATCACGACCTAGGAACACATATTCAAATGACTCTGACTGGTAGATTCTACCATGCAAAAGCTTTCAGGAACTTTTATAGCCACATAACAAAGAACAGCATAAATAAATATTTGGAAAAACTGTGGTGGGACATGAAGTAGGCAGCACT